ACGTTCCATGCTCATGGATTGGAAGAACAAATATTGTGAAGATGTCAATGCTACCTAGACCAATCTACACATTTAATGCAATACCTATCAAAATACCAACAACTTTTTTCAAAGAAATGGAACAAATCATCCTAAAATTCATATGGAAGCAGAAAAGACCCCGAATAGCCAGAGGAAGGTTGAAAAAGAAAAACAAAGCTGGCGGCATCACAATTCTGGACTTCAAGCTCTATTACAAAGCTGTCATCATCAAGACTGTATGGTACTGGCACAAAAACAGACACCTAGATCAATGGAACAGAATAGACAGCCCAGAAATGGACCCTCAACTCTGTGGTCAACTAATCTTTGGCAAAGCAGGAAAGAATGTCCAATGGAAAAAAGACAGTCTCTTCAACAAATGGTATTGGGAAAAGTGGACAGCCACATGCAGAAGAATGAAACTGGACCATTTCCTTACACCACACACAAAAATAGACTCCAAATTGTTGAAAGACCTCAATGTGAGAAGGAGTCCATCAAAATCCTAAAGGAGAACACAGGCAGCAACCTCTTTGACATTAGCCACAGCAACTTCTTCCTAGAAACATTGCCAAAGGCAAGGGAAGCAAGGGCAAAAATGAATTATTGGCACTTCATCAAGATAAAGTTTTTGCACAGCAGAAGAAACAGTCAACAAAACCAAAAGACAACCGACAGAATGGGAGAAGATATTTGTAAATGACATATCAGATAAAGGGCTAGTATCCAAAATCTATAAAGAATGTAATTTCTTCTAAATCACTGGAAACAATGTTTCATCAACCTACCTCATGAATTTCCTCTAAAATGTAATTATAGAAAATATAGAAATTGACTTAGAAAATATGGTTATTATAGTAAAAACGAGAAGGAAAAATCATCTAATATACAACCACTCAGAGATAACTGCTGTTGACATTTGCTGTGTGATTTTTCTATTTTTCTCTGCAAAATGTGTTGTCTTGAGATATATAAACAACATAATTTGGATTCTAGCTTTCTCATTTAATATGAAATAATCATTTCTTTGTGGAAACATTGATTTACTTAACTGAAACTAATTTTTTTTCAAATATGGGCAATCTATTCTTCCAAGGTTATATTAATACAATTGAATATTATAATCTTTTTGTGTCCATACATTCTTAAAGATGACAAATGTATTTTGGAAGTATGTTTCTCTCTAAAAGCAGTGTCAACCAACCTATTGGTTCTACTTTACCCAAATACCACCCTATTAGATCCATTCAACACTTTCCTTGGGCCCCTGACAACCTGACCAACTCTTGCCAGGCACTACCAGGAACCCATAACATAACAGAGGCTATTTTATCACAAGGAGTAGAATTATTTATTGTAGATGACATGGCCTTGCTCCAGAATCCCTGGGGTCCGCACTGTTTTTCTCCCACTGGGATTGTCCTCGGTTCCATACTGCCTCTGCTCCCCACCACTGACACCTCTGCACCCAGGGAATGTGAATTATTTCTGATTTCCTTTTAAAATTAGAAAGGGGGACACCTGGGTGGCTCAGTCAGTTAATCATCCAACTCTTGGTTTCAGTTCAGGTCATGATCTCAGGGTCATGAGATCAAGCCCCACATTGGGCTGTGTGCTCAGCGGGGACTCTGCTTGAGATTCTCTCTCTCTCTCTCTCCCTCTGCCCCTCCCCCTGCTCACACACACACACACACTCTCTCTCTTTCTCTCTCTCTCTCAAAAGTAAATAAATCTTAAAACATGAAAAATAAAATTAGAAAGGAAAAGAATACATTTGCCAAATCAATGATTGCTTGCTATGTGCTTTAAGCCATGTTCATCTGCACAAGGGCAACAATTTGATTGCGTTTTCCATGGTCTGTAGTTATTCCCCAAGATCCATCTGGTTTCCCTCTGCTTGAGGAACTCTTCTTATGACTTATTTTCTTGGCAGTTACCAGCTTTTTCCTTCACATTCACATTTGCTGCTTCTAGGAACAGACTGAGCAGGTTTGGCCCTTGCAGAGGGACAATACTGAGAAAACAATCTAGCACTGCTTTGTGGACACACGAGAAATTTATTTCATCAATTTATTTAAGAAATTAGCGATAAATTGAAAACTAAAGAAACCCTAAACTCATGACCAATTTTCCCTGTAGGGCATTTATTGTGTTCTGGGGTGCTGTGGAGGCTGGGTATCTGAATCAGAAGGCGGACAGATATGCCCTATAGAAATTTCATGGTGCTTAAGAAGAAGAAAATTAAAAATCTCACTAGAGAATTGAGACCTTCCACAAAGGCTAGACCATCCCCCATCTCCCCCCTCACAATGTCTGTCTGGCTATTAAGCTGCATTGGGCAGCAGAAGAAAGAACTGAAGTCCAACAGCAGAGTTGTGGAGCACAAAAATCACACACTTTGAGATCTGAGGGAGGTACATACCAGTTAGGTCTCAGTCAAAAGCCAACCACACTCGAGGAACAGGGATGAATCACAGGATGGCTAATTTTAAATGTTTCTTTGCTAATCTCTGGAAGACCTCTCTTCCCCCTTTTTATCAGTAGGCCTTCTAGGACTTTTATGACAAATCATTCTTCTAATTTTCCTCTGTTTAAAGCCAAGAATACTGGTTTTCTTGCCTTGACCAGGCAATTTATTCATATATGCCGCATCTGTCTTTCCTCAGAATTAATAACAATTTGAAAACCATTCTTTTATAAACAAACCACACTCTTACCTCGACTCTCAAAAGGACAATTACATGAGGACAATTATGCCTCATTGGTACAGTTTTCAAAGTCTCGGTATCAGAAGGTCATCAAAGATACAATAAGGGGTGCCTGGGTGGCTCAGTCGTTAAGCATCTGCCTTTGGCTCGGGTCATGGTCCCAGGGTCCTGGGATTGAGCCCCACATCGGGCTCCCTGCTCAGCGGGAAGCCTGCTTCTCCCTCTCCAACTCCCCCTGCTTGTGTTCCCTCTCTTGCTGTGTCTCTCTCTGTTAAATAAATAAATAAAATCTTAAAAAAAAAAAAAAAGATACAATGAGAACGTCATCAAAAGCACAATGCAGGACAAGATTTACGTACATTAACAACTAGATCTATGGAATACGTATATAAATACAAATTTCTCAATGTTAAACTAACAAAAACTTTCCATATCTTTCCCACTATCTCCTGTTTACCTTTCAGTGGCTTGTAGAAACAGCTCTTCATGAAAGAGCTAGACTCCTTCTAGAAAAATCACTTTTTATTTTATTTATTTATTTATTTTAAAGATTGTATTTATTTATTAGAGAGAGAGAGAGAGAGAGAGAGAGAGAGAGAGAGCACAGCAGGGGGAGTGGCAGGCAGGGGGAGAAGGAGAAGCAGATTTCCCACTTAGCAGGGAGGTCAATGTGGGGCTTGATCCCAGGACCCTGGGATCATGACCTGAGCCGAAGGCAGACGCTTAACTGATTAAGCCACCCAGGTGCCCCGAAACATCACTTTTTAAAGGAACAAAATAAAAAAAAGTTCATAAAAAGGCAAAAATATCCCCCACACCCTGCTTTTCTTACTCTTCCATTCCCTGTATTATTGCATATACCAGAAAGGACAATTTTCTCTTCAGTTAAAATAAGTTGGATTTCATTTCTCAAGGATGAATACCTAAAAAGGGAATTGTCAAGGTGTGTGGGAAGTGTTCATATAACTTCAGAAGACTCGGCTAAACTGTTTTCAAAGTCATTTCACCTTTTACCCCCATCTGAAATGTGTGAGCATTCTGTTTGCTGCACATTTTCACCAATACATGGCATTTCAGTCTTATTTATTTTAACCATTCATGTTGGTGTGCAGTGGTAGCTCACTGTGGTTTTAATAAGAATTTCACTGATGACTAATGATGATTATTATATTTTCATATGTTTATAGATGATTTGTATGTCTGGCTTTGTCAAGTGTCTGCTTATAGATTTCACCTTTAACTAGGTTGTCCATCTGTTTTGAGTGTAAAGAGCTTTTTATATGTTCTACAAACAAATCCTTTATCAAACATGTATATATACACTCACACACATATATGTGTGTGTGTGTATGTGGCAAACATATATATGTGAAATATTTACTCCCAACTTGTGGCTTACATTTTTATTTTCTTACCAAGGTCCTTTACCACAAAAAAAAAACTTTTACAACAGATTATTATGTTGATGAAGTTCTTTTTATCAGTTTTTAGAGGATCCATCCTTTTTGTGTTTTAGCTAAAAAAAATTTGCACCCCAAATTTCAAACGATATTTTTTGTATTTTATTCTAAAATTTTCTAGTTTTAATTTTTATGCTTAGAACTGGGATCCATTTCATTGAATTCAAGTTAATGTCTGTGTGTGGTGTGAGGTAAGAGTTAAGCCTCCTTTATCCATATGGATACCTAGTCTCTTTCTGCAATGCTTTTTAAAAATCATCCTTTTTCCATTGAATTATAATGACCGTTTGGTGAAATTTAAAGGACCAGATATGCTTGCGTCCGTTTAAATTTTCTCAAATAAAAGTCAACTTCTGCCATTCAATATAACAAATAGCAAAAGGTCAGCTGCTGTATAAGGTGCAGTGAACTGAAACACCTGTTAAAACCATCTCTGGAAGAGGAGCAGCCTGATTGCAATTCTAGGGGAACCATTCTAGACCTGCACATATTTGATGAATGGGCAATTAGTTTTATTTTGGACACATACATATAAAATTACACTAAGTGATAAAATATTTTAAAATAACTTTACAAATATTACATAATACGATCCAATAATTTTATTTTTTTTAATTTTGGTTTACATGTCTGGAGATATTTCACTAAAATTAATGTACAGAAAAATCAATAATCATAAAATGTACTGCCATAGATATATTAACTAATAGCCTGTTGAAAGTGATTGGAGTCATCAACTGCACTACAAGAGTTGAACAATCTCCAGCATAGTAGATCAGTTTTTTTTCAGAAATTAAATAATCTAACAATATTATATTGAGTGACAAAGCAATTTTGCGACAACTAATCTTCTGAATGTGTCTTTCACATCTTTGTTCCTAAGGCTGTAGCTCCAGGGGTTCAGCATGGGAATCACCACTGTGTAAAACACAGATGACACTTTAACTATGAGCCAAGACATTTTAGATTTAGGGATACAGTAAAAGAACAAGACGGTCCCGTGGAAGATGGTGATGGCTCTCAGGTGGAAGGCACAGGTGGAGAATGTTTTCCGGCGCCCACTCGCAGAAGGCATCCTCCTAACCGTGATAAAATTGAGTATATAGGACATCAGAATAATCATCAGGCTGTTCACCTCATTGAATATGCCAATAATAAAACACAGCAACTGGCTGATATAGGGGTCCGAACAGAAGACAGAAACAATTACATAGTGGTCACAGATAAAATTATTTATGATGCTAGACTCACAATAGGATAAAGCAAGAAGAAAATATGTGAGTGTCAGAGAACACACTATGCTCCATGAGTAAGACCCAGCCACCAGGAAAGCTCAAAGCTTCTGAGACATAGCTGTGGTATAGAGCAAGGGGTTACAAACTGCCACACAACGGTCGTAGGCCTTCGCTGCTAACATAAAAGTTTCTGTTACTCCAAATATGCAAGCAAAGCCAAACTGCATAAGGCAACCGGAGAGGGAGATCGTTCTGTCTTCCGCAATCAAGTTCTCCAACAATTTAGGTGTAACTACAGTGGAAAAACAGAAATCTATAAAGGACAAGTGACTAAGGAAAAAGTACATGATCATGTAGAGTTTTGGATTGATCTTGATGATTATTATCATGGCCAAATTTCCTACAGTAGTGACCATATAGATAGACAAGAAAACCAGGAAGAGTAGAATCTGGAGTGCTGGATATTCTGAAAAACCCAAGAGAATAAAAGTGGGTATGATACTTTGATTTCCTTCAGATAACGTCATGATTCCTGTTGAATAAAGAACCAAAGTTAGTTCTGAAAAGTAGAACTGAATGGAAGAGAGAAACAGAGAAGAAAGAGGCTTCATAGGCTGCTGTGAAGTTAACATAGAATAGTGACTCTCAAAGTATGGTCCCCAAACCAGCAACAGCATGAGTGCCTGAGAAGTTGTTAGGGATGCAGATTCTCTAACCCCATCACCAACTTTCTGAATCAGAAACTCTAGAATGGGGCTCACAATTCTTGACTTAACCAGTTCTCCAGGTGTTTTTGATGTCTGCTAAATTATGGGAACCACTGGTATAGAAAATACATATATTAATCATTTTATTGTTTAAAATTCAGCCCTTGCTAGTATTATTACTATTGAATTGAAATATAAATTTAGAGCACAAAAGGAATTGTACAAAACAGGGGCAAGAGAGCCAGAAAAGAGGCACAGAGTGTTTTGTTATGGTTCTAAGAATTATACTAAAGATGAAGATCACTTGGCATTGCAAATGGTGCCATGTAAATCTTAGTATTAATTGTTTTTTACATATTCAATGTTTTCTAGGCATTATACAGAATTAAATACCCCTGGAATTTATGACTTGAAATAAACCTTAAAATGTATCTAGTCTGTACCATCCACCTAATGCTTGAGAATCCATTACAGACTCTTATTCATGAAATAATCATCTGGCTTCTATCAAAACTTCCACTAAGGGTGTACTACCTCCAGGGGTAGTTTTGTAGGTCTTTTATTGACATTTTGCTCAACATATATTATTTTATTAATTAAATTTAATTAATATTTCATTAGCTATTTATTAATGTGTCTTAGGTCATTCATTTTGTTATATATTATAAATTTATAAATATATAACTAAATAGTATATACATAGAACAGAAGTATCTCACATTCACTAACAATAACTCCATACAAAATCTGTTCTTTGATACAATGAAAATTACACATTTTCTGGACCAATAGAAGTAAGCCCTCTCCTATGATGAAACAAACTTGGGGAAGATTAGGAAGTAAGAGGAGTAGGCACATAAAATGAATAGTCTCAAGATTTAGACATGAGGCTGCAACAGAATTAGATGAGTTATCTGTTCCATCTTCTGAGCTTTGCCTGGAACCAGTCTCAGACTCAACATGATTGCCTACATTTACACGTACCACAAGCAACCCTACACCTAGAGCAGCCATCATCAGCATATTCTTTCCAACAGCAAGTGGGACCAGATAGATACATTGTAAACATACGTTATTGTTCGGCATATTTTAATAAATGAGTTACCTTCAACATTTGAACCTATTAGCAAAACCCTGGCTTATTAGGGAGATTGCTACTACTCTTCTGGCTTAGTGGCACATTTATGAGGTCAATAACAAAAAGATACTCAGAAAAAGACTTGATATCCCGAAGCTACCAATTTCAAAAGATTTTGGTGAAAATCAATGGATTGGATTAAGACTGTATTCAAACTGAGACTAGGCCTACAGGATTATAAAATTGACAAATACCCCCATCATTTTCTGTGACTTCCCCATTGCTCACTGTTACCAGTTTCTGTAATACAGAATTTAGTTCTCAGAAACACTTCATGCCTTGTGAGTGAAAATTAAAATATCTCTGACCTCAAAAAGGTAAAAAAATTTTTTTTTGGAATAATCTATATGAGCTGGAGCTCCATGTTTCCCACCTAAATTGAAAGCTACCAAATGAACTGAGCTGAAACCAGAATTTCTTATTTACTTTACTGAGAATTTCTTCTTATGATTAATGAATCACGGACATTTTTCTTCTTAGTAATAAAACATTCTTTAAAAATAGAAACAGGCTTGAGGTTTGAAATAAAGTAGCAGTAAATTTCAATAGGTATGCCAGTAATGCTGGCATTTTATTTCCAGGACATAAGAAATCTTAAGAAATACAAAGAAAAAACTTGAAAGTTGAATCCACAATCTAAACTCTGCCAAACTCTGGGTCTTATATCTGCCTCCATGATTATGAAGTTATAGACTACAGAGGATTATAATTGGAGTGTTCCTCAGTGCACCACAAATCATACAATCGGTTGAAACACTGTCTCTTGTGTCATTGTGGCATATGCATTTCCTTTGAAAGACCTACGGATAATTACATCACTACATCTATTCCACTAATTGCTTTTAGATACTGAATTATTGAAATAATATGTATTTTTTATTTTTAAAATGTTTTATTTATTTATTTGAGAGAGAGAGAGCATGAGAGAGAGAATGAGATGAGAGGCAGAGGGAGAGGCAGGGGCAGACTCCCTGATGAGCAGGGAGCCCAATGAGGGGCTATATCCCAAGACCCTGGGACCACGACCTGAGCCAAAGGCAGAGTCTTAACTAACTGAGCCACACAGGAGCACCTGAAATAATATGTATTAATTGAAGAACACATGAACTGTTGAGTTCGAAATAGGAAAAGAGAACAATACAGAGATAGCTGTGTTTTTTAATTTTTTTATTATGTTATGTTAATCACCATACATTACATCATTAGTTTTTGATGTAGTGTTCCAAGATTCATTGTTTGTGTATAACACCCAGTGCTCCAGAAATATAGCTGTTATTAACTCAACTGTGTTTCAAATTCCACATTAGTGTGGAATACTTGGTCAACATTACCTTAAGCAAAAGGATGAAGGTGACCATCATTTGTGATATAATGAGGATATCATTTACTCCCTGATATGATGTGATGAGAAAGGTTTCACTTCTATTGTATTCTTCCCCCAAACCCATAATCCCAGCTTAAAATGAGAAAATCATTACACAAACTCATATTTGGAAGCATTTTACAGGATACCTAGTCACTATTCCTTAGGATTGTCAGAGTCAAGAAGAACAAGGAAAGAATGAAAAACTGTCACAGACCAAAGTAGACTGAAGACACACAATAAGTAGCCTGGATTGGACCTCAGACAAGAAAGAGAGCACTGTTGGAAAAAAAAAAAGATTCTATATAAAATTTAGATTTTAGCGATCATAATGTACTAATGCTTCTTTTAAAAAAGATTTTATTGATTGATTGAGAGAGAGAGAGAACGAGTGTGCACCTGCAGGTGGAGAAGCAAAGGGAGAGGGAGAGAGAATCTCAAGCAGACTCAACACTGAGTGTGGAGCCTGACTCGGGCTCAGTCTCACTACCTCGTGATCATGACCTGAGCTAAAATCAAGAGTTGGAAGCTCAACCAACTGAGACACCCAGGCCGTCCTGTAATGTACTAAAGTTTCTCTTCAAATTTTTCATTTTATCATGGTAATAATACTTAATGTGACATCTACCTTGTTAAGAGATTTTTAAGTGTAGAATACAGTATTGTTGACTACAAATACGATTGTGTACAGCTGATCTCTAGCACTCTCATCTGTAACTTTATAGCCACTGATTTGTAACTCCCCTTCTCCCCTTCCCCCAGTCCCTAACAACTATCATTCCACACTCTGATTCCAAGAATTTGGTTGTTTTATATACCTCATATAAGTGGAATTTATTTTCTGTGACTCACTTATTTCACTTACATAATGGCTTTAGAGTTCATCCTTGTGGTCACATATTGTGGAAATTTCCTTTATTTTTAAGGCTGAATTGTATCCCATTGCGTATCTATACCACATTTTCTTTATCCATTGATCTGTCCATGGACATTTTGGCTGTTTCTGCATCTTGACCATTGTGAATGGTTCTGCAATGAACATGCCAATGCTGATACATTTTTGAAACCTTGATTTCAATTCTTTTGGATAAATATCGAGAAGTAGGATTATTGGATCACATATTCGTTAAATTTTTAATTTTGTGAAGAACCTCTATACTGTTTTCCATACCAACTGCACCATTTTGCATTCCCATCAACAGTGTATAAGGGTTCTTATTTCTTCATATCCTCATCAACACTTCTCATATATATATATAGACACACACACACACACACACACACACACACACACATACCTATATGTTTTAGGTGAGTCTTATTGTTTTGATTTGCATTCCCTGATGATTAAGTGACATCAAGCATTTTTTTTTTTTGCACACCTATTGGCTGTTTGTATATCTTAGAAGGAATATCTAAATTAAGTCCTTAGCCAACTTTCTAATTGGGTTTCTAGTTTTTTGTTTGTTTGCTTCTTTCTGTTTTTTGTTTGTTTGTTTGTTAGCTTGTTTGTTTTTGCTATTGAGTTGTATGAGTTCATTATTGTAAGTTTTGGAGATTAATCCATTATCAGATATATGGTTTGCAAATATTTTCTAGCATTCTATAGGTTGCCTTTTTGTTATTTATTGTTTCTTATGTTCTGCAGGAAATTTGACAAATGCATCATGGTAATTGTATTTGAGGTTAACAATGTGGATAATTGAGAAAGGACTGTATGGAAATTCTTAAATATCTTTACAATTTATTTTGTAGAGTGGAAATTATTAAATATTTTAAAACTAATTTTTAAAATGTCAACATTTACATTAATAGGCCCATTTCATTCACTCTCCACCACCACAACCATTGCTGCCAAGACAAAATCACCTGAAATAGTATAAATGTAACAAGCAACCTCTCAACATCCACATCTGCCTCCACTCTGAATCATCTTGCTACGCTGTTTGCCACTTTGTTTTTAGTGTCTGTAGCTGTGGGTGTGGGATCGGGGGTGGGAGGTGTAAGGAGTAGTAATTAACATTTTCAAACTCTTAATTACTAACAAAATAGAATTTATTCAGTGAATTCAAACCTACATACTATTTTCTAATAATGAGCATGTTTAACAAAGAAGTGAACTAAACATAAAAAATCTAATTTTCTAGATCACAAAATTGGTATGTAGAAGAATCAGGATTCGGGGCGCCTGGGTGGCTCAGATGGTTAAGCGTCTGCCTTCGGCTCTGGTCATGGTCCCAGCGTCCTGGGATCCAGCCCCACATCGGGCTCCCTGCTCAGCGGGGGGCCTGCTTCTCCCCCTCGCTCTGCTTCTTCCCC